GACTGTTACAAGGAGGCAGCCACGTGAGGCTCCATCCTCTGACTGTTACAAGGAGGCAGCCACCTGAGGCCCCATCCTCTGACTGTTACATGGAGGCAGCCACGTGAGGCTCCATCCTCCGACTGTTACAAGGAGGCAGCCACCTGAGGCCCCATCCTCTGACTGTTACATGGAGGCAGCCACGTGAGGCTCCATCCTCCGACTGTTACGTGGGAGGCAGCCACGTGAGGCTCCATCCCGTGCGCCTGGTCCCCGAAGCTAGCAAGCACAGAGCTGACTGGGTAGGACTCGCTTGCAGCCTGGAAGCCTCTTTCTGACCGGAGACCCCTCTCCGCAGTCACCACCTAGTGCTGGTCACTAACAGGAACTGGGCCGGGAACCCTCCACACGACTCTGGCTAAGCAGGAAGCTGTCCCCCCGATGCACGGCGCGTCCAGAGGGCTGGAGGAAAAGACCTTACCGCTGCTCAGTCCGGGCTCAGCCGCTCCCTCTGACTTTCCAAGGTGGCTGGCGTTTCCTAACAAGAGAAGAGACCATTTTATTCAGAGCGCAGGAAACCCTTCAGAAACAAAAACCAAACACTTTGCATAATCTACAGCTTAAAGCAGCAAGCCAAACGATTACAGAATAACGTCATTAACTATTCGTCAGGTTTGAAGACAGGCCCTCCATTACTAACCCAAGAATGTATTACCAACAACTAGTTATGAGGTTTTACATTTGTTTAATAGGGAATAATTGGCCCCAATTAAACTGACTGGGCTAAGGCTTTTTAGATTACTAAAACAAATTAAACTTTTTAAAATGAGAATTTAGGTGATCTTAAAGCTTTCTACAATGGATCATGACACGTGCTAAGTCGCATCTCCCTGGTTTTATTAGTTATATTAAGATAAATTACGTGAGATTACAATCTTATTTGATTTATTTACCTTTGACAATGAAGACCAGCCTTGGCGAGTGCGACCTCAATTAGTCAAGTCAGACTGTCTTTAAAAGCTTTGTGCTTATTGCTTCCAGCAGGGAGCGAGGTGTTCATTAAGGAACCAAAATTCTCATAAAAATTCCAAAGTTGCACTAGTGAAGAAACGCTCAACAAGATGAAAACTGATCACATCTTTTTCAGAAAATCAGGAAGTTATTTTAAAAGCAGCGTTTAAGCAAGGTTTGGTCCTGCGCAGTTTTAACGGGCCTCTCACGCAGCTGGGTCCCCACTGGCCTCGTTAAGCAGCGTTTAAATCTACGGTGAGTGCGTCCAGCAGACCAGCTAAGTTTATACCAGTTTTTAAGTGAGTTGTCCAGTGCTTAGCGTGACCCTTTTATGGCAAGCGGTGTTAAGTGAATCCTTTCCCTGTTTACAACTATTTATGAAGGCCTTTTTAAATAAGAGAGACATGAAACTGTTAGCTCACACACACGAAATTTCTTTCAAAAGTTTATTTAGTATCAAGCAAGAAGAGACTTTGCTTAACACTACAGAACATTTCAAGACTCGGTTACAAAAGAATACCACATTATTTGCACTTGAACTTGGCTTCCCTTTTTACGCATGTTGGCAAGAGGAAAAAAAAAAAAACCTGGCATATGGCTGAAAGATAAAATAACTAGATTGTATGGAAACCTTTAAGATGAAAGGCGAGGCTTGTGTTAAAAGGATGGATTAACATATTTAGTAAACCTATTTTTTTGTTTAACACTAGTTAATCAAAGTTATTGTTTCCTTTTGATGACCTATTTGTTCATATACAGACGGGAAATAGCAAACTTTTCCATGTCTTTTTTTGTCTGCCCAGCTCGATGTTTCGACAAAGTAGTTTTAAGTTCCATCCATTCAGGTTTTAAGCATTTTGATTTATTTAAAAAGGGATTGTTCATAGAAAAAAATTACTTTGAACAGTACACAGGACGGGTGGAGGTGGGCAAATCACACCAGACAGACAATCAGTATCTGCCATAGGGCTGGTCCCTGTAGGCGCCCTTCGCCGACCTCGAGGAGGGCGCCTTGTGCCGCGAGTTCGTCCAGTCGTCCTGCCCTGAAACCAGGAAGAGAGTCGGTCAGTCCCTGGCCAGGCCCCGGCTCCACCTGTCCAGACCGCACTGAGCTCTGACCCCGGGGACGCTGTGTCTCCCCGAGGGACCAAAAAAAAAAATCAAAACCAAGAGCCAAAACCCCCGGGGGTTCAGTTTCAAAGAGTGGACGGCCCTCCCTGGTGGCTCAGCGGGTTAAAGCACAGCACTGAGAAGCTAAAGCCGCTTCCGCATGAGTTCGACTCCCGCCTGCCCCGGAGGTGACCACATGGCGCGGCAGACCTCTCCTGACCCGCCCGCTGCTCCCCTCAGCAGTGGACTTCGTCCATCTGCCTGTTCTGCTCCCCGCTCTGTCTCTGGTGAAGCCTCTCACCTGTACCCCAGTTCTGTATGCACAAATAAATAAATCTTTAAAAAAAAAAAAAAAGAGTCGAGACACAGTGGGAAGGGCCCTCTGAGAGCCGAGCCTACTAGCCGGCAGAGAAAACGGCGGGCGCGTCTGGCGTGGCGCCCAGCTGGCGCAGAGTTCGCCCTGGCCGCTGGCTTAGCGAGCGCTCACAAGCCCCACGGCTAAGGGGGGGGGGGGGGGCTCTGCTGAAGGCCAGCACATGGCGAGGGGAAGGGGCGCGACGGGGGCGGGGTGCCCTGGGCTTCCTTCCACCAGCAGGAACCACGGACACAGACACGCACTGGGGGAGGCGCTGAGGGCAGAGCGGAGGGGCAGGTCACGGGGCGGCGGCCCCGCAGCCCCGGGGCCCTGGGGGCGGCTCCTGGAGCTGTGCCCGGAGGGGACCCCAACCCCTCCCGATCACGAGAGCCCCCGGGACATCCCGCCAGGTGCCCCTCATGGTGACGGGAACCCCGGGGGTGTCCGTCCGCCTCCAGCGGCGAGGGGGCGGCCATTCAACCCCCGGGCTCCCAACCGGACCCCACAGCCCTGGCAGCAAACAGTTAACTTCCTCGCTGAGCAGCCGGCGAATCGCCATGTGTCCGAGAGACCAATCTTAAAAAGCTGTGAAGGAAAACTGCTTCAAATGACCTCTTCTTTTGACACAAACATGCAATCAGCGTCATCCCTTCAAGCTAACTTGCATCCACTTAAGTCGACAGCATTCAGCAAACCAAGGTATTTTTCTCTTAAGTGTTCGCTACAAATAGCGCATACAACAGAAATAAGTGCAAGGTGCGGTCATCACGGCTTGGGGCAGGTGATCTAACAAAACGCACTTCAAAAGGAACGCGCAAAGTGGCTTTTCAGTAACGCTGGAGAAATGTCACAACATCCATTAACCAGGATGCCGATTCCACAGGCAGCGTCAGAGCCGCCGCCTGGGGGGCGCCCGCCCCACCTCCCGCCTCCACCGAGGGGGCTCGAGCCCCTGCAGTGCCGCCACGGGCCTGTCACCCCACACCCGGCGTCCACACAGACCCCGTCCCCGCCAGCCCCGCCGCGTGGCAGGGTGTGCAGGGCCCCCCAGCGCCCGCCCTCCTCCCGGCCCAGGGCTCGGTGGGCCTCACCGACAGCTCCCGCCCCAGGCTTTGGAGGACTGGAGATGCCGGGATGGCGGCGGGCGAGCCTCGCTAGCCCCGGCCACGACTGCTG